CTTTGCAAAGTTACACGCCAAAAACTTAAGAAATTTCTTGAGTGTAGGTCAAAATGGGCCAAACTTAAATGTCAACAAGCTGAAATAGCTAAGAAATCGTACGAGAACATCGATGACGGATCTGTCAATTCATACATCGAGAAGACGAGAAGAACTCTGACACCATAGTCCATAAACTTAGAATGGAACCATCATATGAAATGCTGGAAGAGATTTTGTGATGAACCGAAGATCCGTAGATAACAGAGAAAAGAAGAAAAAGGAGAAGGAACTAGCTCTAAAACTATAACTTCTACCGAAGAATCACACGTGGAAGTGGAAGCAATAGAACCAAGGCGAAAAATTAATACACGTCAATCAGTCGCAGAAGCTATAAATATAAAGGCCCTGCCTAAAAGAAACGCGCATGTACTCCCAGAGATATGTAATATTTGTGGAAGAGACGCCTCATGGTTCTCACTAGACAAGGTATGGTATTTTGATAGGTATAATACTAGCGCAATGTGCACAACATTCTCAGGTTTGGTTTTAAAATATATTGAATTGTGATCAATTTAGTTTATATAGGGTAAATTAGTTTCTATGCTACAAACATCCAACCCTGTTATTAGCAGATATTTAGTTTAATAATTTATTTTGTTTCACACCAGGTACCTAAGAAGAGAAGAAGAACCCCACTCATGTTGGCAGAAACAATTGATGCTACAGCTGCTGAGAGAAAGAACGATCAACAGATACTCAAGCAAATCCAGGGGAAAAGACTGTGTAGCTCTGGAAATCCGCTATCACAAAGTTTGCTACTGCAATTATACAATATTTCTCACCAGAGAGACGAAGAAGCAACAAGAGCATCAGTGTACGAGAAGTCTTATGATGTGTTCTGTAAAAAAGTAATTGAGATGGAGGTTATCAGAAATAAGCAAATAAAGTATATGAAAGAATCAAGATTTGCTGGAGAAATTTGTTATCATTCCTAAGGACACTGAGAATGTGGATGCATCTAAATATAGAGCTTTTAAACTCAAGCAACGACTGATGAAAAGTTATCCCCAACTTGTGTTCTGTGTACCGAAAATGAGAAATGTTAGTGAGATTGTATATGTGGAAAATTTAGATTCTTCTGAATTGGTTGAGGAACATATGTCAATTAATGGCCTGTTTATATGGAAGCCGGAATGGCCCGCTTAGCAAGACAGCCCGGTAAGCGGGATGAATTTCTCTTGTGTTTATATGAGAAACTTTCATCCCGCTTGCCAGGACAATTTTGTTACATTGTATTGTTTTGACAGTTGTTAAAAATAGCTTGCGGCGGTATTTTTGAACTTTCATCCCAGCAACCGGGATAGCCCGCTTGTAAATGTTTATATGGAGAAATTTCCATCCCGGTAAGCGAGATCTAGCCTGAATAGCCTCTTTCAAAGAGATCTCGGCAACCGGGCCAGCCCGCTTGTCCATATAAACGCATGATAATTTTTACTATAAAAATAACTACACAGCGAGATCTTGCTTTAATACCGGGCTGTCTTGCTTAACAGGCCAGCCCGGTTTCTATATAAACAGGCCCTAAGTCTGAAAACAATGATGAGGACTTTGATGAAGAGAGCTGTACCATTGATGATGATGATGTGAATTCCAACACAGAAACTGAGGGAAATTCTAAAGTCAATGAGTTACAAATTCTATACAATGCTTGATTCTTCACCAAAAGGTGCAAGAAATACCAAAACTGAATCTTCCTTGGCCACCATTGGCATCTGATTTGACAATGGATAATATTTCAAATCCGACTATGAGGACTGGACTAGATTTCAAGTCCACGCAATTTGATCACGTCCGAGGCGAATCAGAGGACTGGATCAAAATGTGAGGACTTGAAATCTAGTCCAGTCCGAATTGGAGGATTTGAAATGACATCTCATGTACGAATAAATCACTACTTAATTAATTTTGATCCAGTCCAAGGACTGAATTAATTTTAATCCAGTCCAAGGACACTAAAGGATCAATATACTTCATAAAGTATCTAGTATTATCATGTGAGCAAAATAAGCAATATGGTTGGCTAATTTGCTCATGAATTATTAATGATTTGAGGTGAACAATGATGGGAATGCATGTAGGTATTATCAGTGGAGTAGATCAGTATTTATTTACTTATTCGATATTCTCATTCGGATCCACAGTATTTATATTATCAACACATATATCCCTCTCATGGACAGAGTTAACAGTATGGTCATGTCTGAGAAGCTAAAACGCACCCTGGTGGAGGAGCTGAAACTCACAGCAGCAAATCTATAAGAAAAAGTCAACTAGTATGGACACGAAAAACCAGGCTGAATTGTTCCTTGTTATTCTAGATAGTGGCTAAATACCAACTTATGTCACAATATAAATATAATGCATGTAATAGTTCAAATAGGAGAAGTAGAACTTTACCAGACAAAAGCCAGGACAGCTTATTGCAGAATACATGCAATCTCGTTTTGAGCATGCAAGCCCTTGGCCAGGATCCAATAAGTGGGATTTTATTGCTCTGATGGAAATCTGGGTTCAGAAAACATTTCTTTCAATTATAGATAGCTATAATGTTTTGTAAATGTTAATGAATTTTATATTTCCTCCCAATTTATCTTTTTTTATGATGAATTTCGAGTTTATATTAATATCCCTTAAAGCCCGGGACGAACTGGGAAACACTGTTGTCATATTATTTGTCTTTCCAATCTTTCGGTATGTCATATTGTCTTATAAGCGTCGGCAAACGGATAAAGAGTGTTTCATAAAATGCTTCTGAAATCTGAATTTGGTAGGAAATAATTTGCTTTCTGGGAAGCAAATTTTGCGTCTGCAATCAAAGCCAATTAAAAATCACGAATATTTCCGCGACATTGTTTCTTACGTTTGGCCAAGGCTTTAAGTTTAGCGAAATATTTCATTTGTTCCTTGATCGTGTGAATTGTATGCATATATATTTTTTATTCTCCGTCTTGTTTGATACAGGTGGGTTTTTTACCTCACACAAATTTGTATTGAATTAGGATGTTAATATAAAGTAGAATTAAACGTTAAAACGGTATTTTGAAACAATAGCCAATGAATTGAAGTGATTTAGCATATGAGCAAGCAAAATATACAATGTGTTTTTAACAATATTTAATGTGGGTGTATTTATATTACAAGGTTTGATCAGTATTCTGTGATTTTATTTTGTTGTTTTTGCGGAGGAAATCGGGGAAACCCAACACCGCGGAAAAACGTCTGCGCATGCGTCAACCTTACCTGTAATAGTATTGCGAACTTGATGAGAAGCTGTTCCGAACGTTTCCGAAGGCTCAAAATGGCGGTAAAAAGGAGTGACTTCATTGTGCGTCTTTACAGCCAGATTTCGAGCGCAAAAATAAACATGTCATTCTAAAAACTAGGAATAAATACAGCCAGGGGGTTCAAGAAATTGTATTGTACAAGAACATGAACTAAAGGTGATTGTTGACAAATTTATCGTCTGAAACATTTTGTTTATCAACTAAGCAACGACAATTTCCGAATTTTCGTTTGAGATACATTTCTTTAAAAAAAACTGTGTCGCCAAATATAAAAAATTTTCGTGTTCACAATAATTAAACTTTAGGATTTATTCTACAATTTGAGTGGGTTAAGAAGCTTAACTTTTCGAGAGTTTTCTTAACTTTTGAGTTTGAATTTTTGTTTTGAATAATTTTGCAAAAATTTTCGAAGTCGTGTCCGTTAAAATCAACAATTTTTTACATGAATTATATTTCATTCCATACTTTAAATGCCAGGACGCTTTCAATTAATGTCTAGTCTACCCATTTGCTATATTTTCTCGTTTGTTTTACTAATTTTTGACCAATTAATAAGCATGTTTTTGTTTTAGAAATTGATATTCAAATTCCCCGCCATATTTTCATAATTTGGTGCATGCGCAGACGTTTTTTCCGCGGTGTTGGGAAACCCTCCAGTGGGAATCTATTTTTATAGTCTGCGCGTGCGCAGTGCGAGTTTGGCTGAGTTGCGCATGCGTATTTGCTACCAAAATAATGGCGGTTCGAATGTTTCGAAGCGCGAAAATATCAAACTTTGGAGGGATTTTTCTCCCAATTGTGCACCTGTTTCACTTGGGGAGCAACGGATTCTGATAAAGTAAGTTTTTATCTATTTATTCATGTGAAAATTACGTAGTTCCACGAGGGGTGCAACGGAATTGCATCTTTTGGATGCTCATCCCACGGCCTACTGTTCAATTATTGTATTTTAATTAATTATTCCTTCGACAAACAGTGACTGTTAGATCTCAGAAGAAGCATGCATGTAGTGAAACCAATTTAAGGCATAACGTTTACATTCACAACATAGTATTTATATGCTATGTTTTTTAATCTAATTTCAGAATGTATACGCATCAATGATAATGAAATTTGCGGATGCCCTCCATGTAAGTATAAACTGTAGGTATGATAATATGTCAATACAATTGTGAGATCATTCTATATACAAATTGAAACCATTAGCTTGGGTTTCCGCTTCCTCGCTCAATTTCTTTTTAATTGCATCTGAGGGGTCAAGTTGGTCATAATTCAAAATAAATGAAGCGAAATATTTCGACGACGAAATATTTCCTTTCAAGTGGAAATCCTTTCTTACTGTGACTTATATTAAACTTTAATTCGACGCTAGTGTAACCGGCCACACACTGGTTCAATTTGACTTTTACTAACACTGTCAAAGCTCAATAAATATACAATTATCTGCCTTAAATAAATTATAAACTCCGTCTCTCAACTGAGGTATCTCAAATCTAACTTTTCTTTCTGCTCACGCTAACTTGCGTGATCTTTGTTTTACACGCAATTCATAACTGTCAAAATCTAAACAACATTTCTTAAATATCAAATATAACACTATTTTACGCTGCTTTCCCTTCTAAAAAAAAGGACAGGTCCTCGTGTCTGAATTAAAATTCAGATAACCCAATATCATTAATTAGTCGCATAAGGTTTTAGGCGATTAAAGTTCACCACTCTTCTCTTTCGACCTCCGACCAGCCGAACGCGATAAACGGAATCAGATAACCGTTTCACGACTCGATAAGGTCCGAACCATGCTTGGTATAGTTTCTTTGACTTCGTTGTCCTTGTGTAAGGCGTGTACAACCCAACCCGATCTTCTTTTTCATAAGGTTTTCCTGACTTGCGCTCATTGTAAAACTCCCGTTGTCTCTTCTGCACAACTTTCATCTGCTCTCGAACATCTTTATATGCCTTTTCTAAGTTATTTCGAACAGCTTCCACATACATATTCACCGATTTCTTACTCTCCGTTCCTCCAAACATGATGTCCATCGGAAGTCGCCTGCCAAGCTAAGGAGGTTTTTCGGAAGAGTCGGAGGTGCAAGCGAAAAGACAAAATGTTGTTCTTCCAATATTATTATTAGATGCCACTATGGAAAAAGAAACGATCATGGGTCAAACCATTCCTGTAAGAATAACAACTCATAACTACAATTGCAAGAGGTTTCGGAATAAATATAAAACGTCCGATTTTAACTTGGTTAAAATTCCACTACTGTAGATGAAGCTGTTAAATTCGAACATGTCCCAAAAATAATGCTGTCTAATGTCATGTCACTCGTTCCAAAAGTTGACGAATTCGCGAATTTATTCACCGGAATCAAATCAGCCTGGTATTTATCACAGAGACCTGGCTTAAAGCTTCTATTCCTGACAGCGTGGTGAACATTCCCGGTTTTTCAATAATACGTAGGGACCGAATTAACAAATCCCATGGTGGGGTTTGTGCATACGTTAATAACCGAGATGTTAAATATAAACAGATTTTAGAGTTATCTTGCTGCCAGGAGCACGAAATCCTATGGCTGCACCTTAGACCTACTCGTATTCCACGCAAGTTCTCATGTATTATCGTAGCTATTGTATACCACCCCCCTGGAGCAGATGATTATTCTATGAGAGAACATTTATTCCAGTCGTTAAAAAAGGCAGAGTCCAAATTTCTAAACTGCGCACTTATTGTCGCAGGTGACTTTAATTGTCTTAATGTTGACAGAATCAAACATCATTTTCAACTGAAACAGATAGTTCAGACTCCTACCCGCAGAAATGCGATTCTCGACATCATCTTAACTAATCTGCACGAGTATTACGAAAAACCTCTAATAATGCCCCCTTTTGGACTATCCGACCACAATACTATCATTTCATCTCCAAAAGAAAGAGCTAAAGATCTAATCGCTAATGGCACCACCTTTAAGCGAAATATTAATCCAAGTTCCAAACGAGCCCTGGGAAGATATCTAAACTCGATATACTAATGATTGTGATCAGTTATCGAACATGTTTCAAAACATAGTCCTTACTGGGGTTAATATATTAATGCCGATGATACGATCAAAGAAATGTCCTGTCGATGCCCCCTGGATAACGAACCATTTCAAATCGCTGATCATTGAAAGGCAGAAAGCTTTTTCTACCTATGGCCCTGACTCGAGCAGTTTTAAATCTCTTCGAAACCAAGTAAATCGAGAAAGGAAAATCTGTAAATCAAACTATTATAAACTCCGTGTACATCAATTGAAACAAACAGATTCCAAGGAATGGTGGAAAGAAGTAAAGCGTTTAAGTGGAATGGCATCTACTAGATCTAGTGATATTAGAAATATAATAGATATTGAAAACCTCGAACAATTATCTGAGCAAGAATTAACTAACAAGATCAATGAAGTTGGATCCCTTATCTGTATATAAACTGTCCAGCCCCCTTCTTCCTTTCGAGCTAGAAGTTAACAACCCTGAGATTTTAGTAGTCACTGAAGAAACAGTGTATTCATATTTATTAAAGCTGAACCCTACAAAAACTTGTGGTCCTGATGAAATATCAAATTGGCTTCTTCGTGATTATGCAGCTATATTAGCGTTCCCAATTAGTACCATCTTAAATGCTTCCTTCAAGCAACAACGACTTCCATCGATGTGGAAACTAGCTAATGTTTTACCTATACCTAAATCTAAGACAGTTCAAATCTTAGGAAAAGATCTCAGACCTATCTCACTGACCCCGAGCATATCCAAAGTAGCTGAAGAATGTGTGGTAAATAGATATATCAAACCTGCGGTTCTGAAATCCATCGACTCAAATCAATTTGGTTCTATTCCTAATTCTTCAACCACATTTGCTTTAATAGACATGTTACATCACTGGACCTCAATGCTGGACGGAACAGGAGCAACTATCCGAGTGTTTCTATTTGACTATAAAAAGGCATTCGATTTCATTGATCATAGTGTCCTAAGGATCAAGTTAGGTGCTTTAGATTTACCAACTAGTATCATCAACTGGATTATCGACTTTTTATCGGATAGATATCAAAGGGTTAAGCTGTCAAATAGTTGCCTTTCTGAATGGGGCCAAGTACCGGCTGGTGTTCCTCAAGGAACCAAATTAGGCCCTTGGCTCTTCTTAATAATGATTAATGATTTGAAGAAACACAGTGAGAACTTATGGAAATACGTTGACGATACCACGGCGTCGGAAGTTGTATTGCAAGGCGAGCACAGTGAAGCTCAACTGATTGCAAATGAAATTTTAGATTGGTCCAATATCAATAGAATGCAATTAAATGCTGATAAATGTAAGGAGATACGAATTTCTTTTGCACGGAATCAACCCGAGCTTAACCCAATTACAATTGAGAATCAAATCATAGAAGTTGTATCCGATTTTAAAGTGCTAGGTCTTAACATTAGCAACAACCTTACGTGGAATAAACATATCACTGAATTAGTCAAGAAAGCCTCCAAAAGGATATATATATTTCCTTATTCAACTTAAGAGAGCAAAAATCCCAATACAAGAACTAATCACATTTTACATAACCTGTATAAGATCTGTGTTGGACTATGCCGTCCCGGTTTTCCACTACAGCCTACCCAAGTATTTAAGTCAAGATTTGGAACGAGTCCAGAAACGCGTATTTGGAATTATTTATCCCCATTTGAAATATGAGGAAGCTTTAAATCTCAGTGGAATTGAACATCTCTCCACTCACCATCAAAACAGCTGCAAGAAATTGTTTAATGCAATTATCAAAGATTCTAATCACAGTCTACATTACCTCTTGCCGCCAAGGCATAACTCCATCCACGACCTGAGATCTATTAGATCATTTGACGTTCCAGTTTGTAAAACCAATCGGTTTAGTAATAGTTTTATTATGGCATCGAGTAGCAAAACTGAATAGGTTGTACTTTTCATTTACCTATTTTATATTCTTAATAACTTTTGCATGCTTATTATAAACAGACACTTTTGACAATTAGTTAATTAATTATAATACTTTGATATATTTCAAAACTCTAATTTTAATAATTTTTAATTGTAAGTATAATACGCAATTCAGCTCATAGCTGCAATGTATTTACCATTTCTAAAATAAAGTATAAAGTATAAGTATAAAGGCGCACCTCTCTTCCAAACGTCGTGAAATATGGGGTTTGCCGCGTTCATTCCTGTACACTCGAACCATACGCCAACCTGACCAGTTGTAAACACTCATCCCAGTTCTTTTCATTCACATCCTAACGATAATAACGATTCCAGGATCCGGTTAAAACGTTCAACCAGACCATCGGATTGAGGGTGTTAGGGTGACGTTCTCGTTTTATGGATTTGTAACAACTTGCAAATTTCTTGAATCAACTTGGACTCGAAATTGCGGCCCTGATCTGTATAAAGTTGCTCTGGTACGCCGTAACGACAAACATACTCATTCACAAGCACCTGTGCAACTGTCGCGGCTTCTTGATTTGGTAAGGGAAAAGCTTCTGTCCAGCCGCGAGTAAAATAGTCACAAACTACAAGGATATACTTGTTATCGCGTCCTGTTTCCGGATATGGGCCCACAATGTCCATTGCAACTCGTTCGCAAGGGCACCAAGGCTGGTCGCGCGGGGGTGGGGAGATTTTCAAGATTTTCAAAAAAACCTTGCCTTGCCTTCCCTTGCCTTCACTTGCCTTGCCTTCCCTTCCCTTCCCTTACCTTACTTTACCTTACCTTCCTTTACCTTCCTTTACCTTGCTTTACCTTGCATTGCTTTGCTTTGCTTTGCTTTGCTTTACTTTACTTTACTTCGCTTTAGATAAAGGAACCAGCCACAGGAAGGGCTCTATCAATGCACGTTTTACAAGAGATACGTCCAATTATAATCAAGTAACAATGTTTTTAAACTGGAACGATGGTACCTGGAAAGATGTGGATATCACGTATTTTAAAGTTCAGTTAAGAAAAAGCGGGTCGGTTATCTTTAAAGATTATGTCAACGCATCCTCCAATGTAAGTGATTGGTCATGTACACTGGCTTATCGATCTCTTTCTAATTTATTAAGGATATCGATCAGGTATTAGTATGTGCACGTGTATTATTAGTTATCAGCATGCACATACACACATTCATGAAAATCATTACTAATTTCATCACCTTACAGTTTTTGCTTATATTTATAATTATGTTCATAATTATACAAATATTTTTATATTTGTTTTAATTAAGCTAATTAATAATGATGTACGTACGATACACTCCAAAGAAGAATTCAACAGGGACGTTTAATCACGTATTTCCCTCATTACCCATGCACACGTTTTTGTCTTCTAAATTTCCCCGGGAAACGTGGAAATTTAGTTGAAAACAAAAGATTTCTTTGTCTTCTATTTCTTCTGTCTTTTCCCCTGCATGCTTGATGAGGGAAATTTAGAAGACAAAAGCGTACCTCATTATCTCTCATTGGAGAGCTGTGTACTTCATCGAAAATCATCGGCACAACTATGGAAAGTATCTGACGACACCGTCCCGTACACATTTGAACAATCACTTTGCCAGTTTTTATTCCGCAATCTTGAACATTTCAATTGTGGGAGAAAATTCGGTTTATGCGCATGCATGAAAAGAATGAACACGGAGATGTGTTTCTGCGCGTGCGTATATATGAAAAGTGTTCATCCCACAATCATAAAACAATCAAACAGCATTCAAAAGAGACCACCACACCATGCGCGATTCCCTCGACTACCATGCACTTACAAAAGTACTAAGGCTATTGGTTCGCTCAGATGCTATTTTGCTGTCAAAGAACGAAGATTTCCTGTGTTTCTGTTGGTTGTTCCTGTTTGGTGTTTTCGTGTTGGTGATTCCTGGTCGTGCTGCCTGGTAGTGCTGCCTGGTCCTGCTGTCTGGTCGTGCTGCCTGCTCCTGCTGCCTGGTCCTGCTTGGTTGTGCTGCCTGGTCCGGCTAGGTTTGTCTTGGTCTTGTCTGGTTACCTGGCCTGCCGTATCTTGGTGGTTCCTTTTTCCAAGATTCAACAACGTCCAGCGGCAAATAGTCGCTGTGTGGGGTAACCTTGTTTATTTTTCTTTTAAGTGTGTTATTTAGGGAGTTTGTGTGGTTTCTGGCTGTTCCCATTTCTGGTGCTTGACCGCCCTTAATAGCCAGGTTCCTCGATTGTGAGTTTCCTTGGGGTAATATTTTGTGTATAATTTATTGTGTGGGGTTACCCTCATATTTGATAGAATTTCGTGCTTTGTGTTAAAGTTGTTATAAGCATGAAGATTCCTTTGTCAAATCGAATGGTGGATGTAGAGCTTCCTAATACTCAAGGGCAGGCCATGGTAACTGTCAAAAACATAATGGAAGACTTCCATCGCCAAACGGGAGAAAATTTTCCCAAGTTATTCGAGGCTTTTGTCTTGTTATCGGCTCGCAAAATTCGTATGACTTGTCGCACCGCATTGAATATGGAAGAAGTGTGTCATCTCGGGCTTACGTTTCGAGATGTCCGTCTAACGTTCAATCCGGTCAGGACGGCCAAATGGGTAAACATTACGCCCCTGAGTTATGCGATTCCCAACGAAGCGATTGATGATGCTTTGAAGCCATACGGCAAAGTCATTCAGATTAAAATGGACTCCTTTCATGGAGTTTATGTTGGCGTCCGTCAGGTCTTAATGGAACTGTCTAAACCCATTCCTTCGCGGTTGACCATTGCAGCTCATTCCTGTAATTGTTTTTATGTTGGTCAGGTTCAAACGTGCTTCTCGTGCCACCAGACAGGTCATATGACTAAAGATTTCCCTAATCACGCGCATACTACAGGCATTATCATCAATGCAGATGGTCCATTGACGGGGGTAAATCGACCGTCGACCAGTACAGTACCTGAAGAACGCATTGGTGCCCATGTTACGGGTAATTCGGTTAGGGATACGCTTTTTCCACAATTAACAGATGGTCCTCATCCGTCCATTACAGCTAGTAATGACGATAACCATAGTCTGGGCTAGCATGCTAGTTCTACAAATAATAATCTTGGCAATCAGCAGTTGAACAATTCAGTCACTCACTCTGATGTTCCTAATGCAGCTATTATAGGTTATCGTAAAGATTCTGACAACTCGGAAGATGAAGATGAGTTTGTTGATGTCGTAGAGGAACTGCCATTACCAGAAGGTGAAGGTGGCGAGCAGCCAATTCCTATAGTTCTTGGGAAACGCACTAGGGAACCTGATGACTCGGATGTTTCCGATATTTCGGAAAAGCGAGTCGATCGAAATCCGTCTTCGGATGGGAGTGTAGTTGAGGATGATTTTGTCCCTTCTTCTCTTCCTCTTCCTCCTAGTCTTTGGCTCGTTTTTTCTCCTCCAATTTGTTTTCGTCTCTTAGTTACGAAGTTGATCCCATATCCATGGAGCATGATGCAAATGGTATTGCAATTCCACTTGAAAGAACTACATCTGTGCAGAGGAAGGTTCGTACCCGCAAATCGCAAAGGCCTTCTAAAGAGGATGATTCTTCACTTCTTCCCTCCGCACCTCCTGCGGATGATTCTGTGTCTATTGCTTCCGAAATCCTTGGTACACCCTCCATCGAAGCATATGAAAGCGGAGATGAGGAGCAGTGGCGTGCTGGCAGGGGGGGGCCGGGGGGCCACGGCCCCCCCAGCTGGCAATTCTTGCAGGGCGCAAAAATGAAAAGGGGGCGCCGATCCCGCGCCGAGTTTTGAAAGTGGGTGGGAAAAAACGCATTCGAAAAAATATATTTACTTCCACCGAGAAAAGATGTGTTTATAGGCTTATAAAACAGACTAAGCGCATAGGCGACAAAGTGACATATTAAATTATACAGACTATTTTGTCTAACCGTATTTGCTAATTTGCTACCTCACGACTCACACGAAATCGTTCATATAGAAACATGAACTGTGATCACACGCAATGTCTAATCACCGAAATATTGGTCAGGTTTCGAAGCGATCACGGGAATTATGCCCTTTTTTGCTGGTATTATGCCCTTTATTATGCTTCACGAATCACAAGAGCGGCGCAAATTAGATAGTTTAAGTTATGATAATGTAAAGTTGTGTACGCAATTTAGTTGTTTGCGCTAGAAACATCATGAGTAATGTAAGTAATGAAATAATGCTGAAACGCGCCCTTTTGGCAGCCAGGCAGGGAAACCTTAAAATGAATATGCGTGGGGTCCGTGTGTTATTGTATAAAAGAGCTGTATGTTGTAATTGTATTCAGATCACTAGATCAGTAGAGAATAGAATTGGGATTAGATTAATCGCTGGAAGTTGTTAGCATTGCATAATATAAGTACTACTACTACTACTAAATTCAAACCAAATTGCAAATTTCGACACGTTATAATGCCGTTTCCTGACCATCCGATTTCTGTCAAATCTTCCCCCCAAAGTCCAGGAAATGGCATTTCAGAGACTTTAAATTCAAAAATTTTCCTGGGGGGCATGCCCCCGGACCCCCCTAGACAAACCTCGCACCTGCGGCGCTCGGCTCGTGCCTTCGGCCCTCAACTTTTCAACTTTTATTATTAAAATTAATAAGTATATATTTAACAGCCATTTACCCTCCCACATTTAGCAATAGCTATTCGAGGTGGGGGGTTAAGATTTCATACAGTTAAGGAAAAAAAAAAAAAAGAAATCAGGCTCCATGGCAGAACTGAATGCCATGGAAGAATTACCAAAGCCGGCTGTATACATGTCTACCGTGTGAAAATTAATTTAGCTCATATACAGAAGAAAAGAAACAAGAATTAATCAGTTTTAGATATTGTTTGCATAATCATGGTAAGATCACCATAGTCATCGCAGAAACTTAGAGCATCGAGGAGTAAACTTTTGCATTGTTTGGAAAAACAGGGTTTACTTAATTCTCGAATAGAGGTAGGTAAACTGTTCCAAATTTTTACACCCATTCTGGAAAATGACTTAGCTAAGATATTTAATCTCGAAAATGGTTGATAAAGGTCATGACGAGCCGCAGACCTAGTATTGTACTTATGTGTATCAGCAATGGCAGTGAATAATGTTGTGATATTAACCGGAGATTTATTGTTCATAACGTCATGCATAATACAAGCCACATTATGAAAATAGAGAAAATTTATTGGAAGAATTTCAGATTTAGTAAAAAAAGGTATAGCGTGATCTCTGTAATCGGCAAAGTGCATCAAGCGGACAGCTCTTTTTTGGTGAACAAGCAGACGATTGAGATCAGACTTACAAGCTTGACCCCAAACAGTGATTCCATAACTCAGATAAGGATGCATTAAGCCATAGTAAATCTTTTCTAGAATATATTTTGGAATAAAATGTCGAATTCTGGAAAAAATCCCGATAATCCGACTGGTTTTAAGAGAGATATAATCAATATGAGCTTTCCAAGATAAACTAGAATCAATCATGAGACCAAGATACTTCACAGAGTTTTTCATTTCTAAGGGCAACATTCTCTTGGTTCCATGATCATATAACTTTAGCTGAGGAAAATAATCTATTCTTTTTTGATGCGGATGAAAAATGACAAAATTTGATTTGCTAACATTAAGCGATAGTTTGTTTGCTTCCAGCCAACGGCTAACTTTTTTTAATTCCGAATTTACGGTTTGTTCCAATATATGCATATTTTTGTCAGAATATAAAATACTTGTGTCATCAGCAAACAAATAAAATTTGAATTTTGTCGACGACGAAGAGAGGTCATTGACATATAAAAGGAATAATAAGGGACCTAGAACAGATCCCTGAGGAACTCCATGAGAACAATTTTCATTCTTAGAAATACAATCTCCGATTGCCGTTGTCTGAAAACGATCGCTCAAATAGGAAGCAAACCAATCATGCACAATACCTCTTATACCATAATGATAAAGCTTTTTTAGCAGAATAGAGTGATTAACCGTATCAAACGCCTTTTTTAAATCAATAAATACACCACATGTAACTTCCCCCTTGTCCATATTTTTATGAATTCGATCAACAATAT